TTTTTTAATGTTACGCCCCACTCCTGCTGCAGTGCGCTGAGGGAAGTGGAGGTGGCGTTGGGGGTTTTGTGGGGGCCGTGATGGGAGGTCCCGCCGGCATGCGCACTGCGTGTTGCCGCTGGCGGGGTTTGAAGGGGCTGGGCGGGGGAGACGGTAAAAGAGGTGCTTATGAATTTGTTTTTTTATATTATTTTTGATTTATGCGGGAGGCATCCCAAACTGCGGACGCTCCGTGCGGGTGCGTGCGTTTGAGGTGTGTTCATGGCTTATTTCCGTCTTTTCTCTGCTGCTTGTCTGTTTGTGTGTGTGTATGTTGTGCGACCCGCGAGGGTTCATAACGTGCGGGCGAAACAAAAGAATCTCGGCGCACCAGCGTGACATACTCACCTATACAGAAACACAGATCAACTGGAGGCAGCAGGAATAAGTGGCTGGTACTGGTGGGGAGGAGCGAGTAGTCGAAGTCCCACATGAATGTTTCGTCGACCGGAAGATGTGGGGCTTAAGCGGACGCGATTGACCGACTCCAGGCCGCTGCGTCATCTTCTCGTGACGGGTGGCCTTGGGTTTATTGGGAGCAACTTCATCAACCACTTCATGCGGGCACAGACGGAGGTGCACGTGTACAATTTTGACAAGGTGGACTACTGCAGCAGCTTCAAGTCCATTGAGGACCCGTGTAATCCCCGCTATCACTTTATTCGCGGGAACCTTACCAACGCGGATCTGCTGATACATGTACTCCGACAGTACGACATTGACACCATCATTAACTTTGCGGCGCAGAGCCACGTCGACAACAGCTTTGGTAATAGCCTTTCCTTTACGTACAATAACGTCTTAGGAACGCATGTGCTGCTTGAGTGTGCGCGGACATATGGCAAGATTGAGAAGTTTATTCACGTCAGCACAGATGAGGTGTACGGACAGGTCACAGACTCCAAAAAGGAGGAGGGCACACTAAATCCAACAAATCCGTACGCTGCGACAAAGGCGGCGGTGGAGTACATCGTTAAGTCGTACCATATATCGTTTGGGCTACCTTGCATTATCACCCGGGGAAATAACGTGTACGGGCCGTATCAGTATCCAGAGAAGGTTATACCTCGATTTATTATGCTTATGAATGCGGGGAAGAAATTGACTATTCAAGGCAATGGTAGCAATAAACGTGCGTTTATACACGCAAGTGATGTGGTGCGGGCGTTTATTATAATTCTTAACCATGGACTCATTGGCGACGTGTACAACATCGGATCTCATGACGAGAAGAGTGTCTTGGAGCTCGCCCGCATGACTGTCAAGTATATGGGACCGCACGTGTGTGAAGGGACACAGCAGCCACCGGACCCCACAGAAGAGGAGCTGTCCAAGCACCTTGTGTTTGTGAAGGACCGTGACTTTAACGACGAGCGCTACAACATCAGCAACGAAAAGCTGCAGGAGTTGGGCTGGCGGCAGGAGGTGGAGTTCGAGCAGGGGTATAGAGCGACGGTGGCGTGGTACAAGGAGGCATTTGCCCAGAACTTCTGGGAAAACCTGCGCTGGGACATCCCGGATGCCTGCGCACCGCACAGTGATGAGTTGGAGCTTTTGTCCTCTTTTTTCTGAGAACAGGAGGGAGGAAGCCTGCGGCATTGCTGCATGGTCTGTCCATATGTCGGGCGTGATATTCCGGTGATATCGGTTATTGACGAGGTTACAATAAACGCGCACATCCGCCTTCAAAGGAAGTACGTACAAAAACACGATATTTTGATTCACTTGTGCACGCTGCATATAGATTTATATTTATATTATATATTATGTATTATATATATATATATATCTCTCTCTCTCTGGGCTGGGTGGGAGGGGGTAGACATTATTTTTTTTCTGCCCGTGCGACTTTGAGCGACTGCTGCTATTTCCTGCGTGTCTCTGTTACTTTTCTTCTTTGCAACATTCTTGCTACTCACACGACGTGGGTGGGGTGCCTGCGCGGGCGGATACACAAGGAGGAGTTGGTCGGACTGAGCGGCTAAGTGAAGAGAAGCGGCGCGGGTCAGTGGGTGTGGGGAGAATAAGCAACAGGTAGGGCACACTCACACGCAGAGGCACACGAAAAGGAAGCGAGGATAACTCACCGCTTCTTTTTTTTTGTTTTGTTTTGTTTTCCGGGACTTCAAGTTGTGCGTGCGTGTCTACAAACGTGCGGTAAGGCGAAGAAGTGGGAGGAAAAAAAAAGGCATCAATAAAGAAGAAGAAAACATTGAGGGGAAACATTTTTCCCACCCTAACATTTTTATTTGTTACAGTTCCACTGCGGACACGCAGGAGCATACGGGCTTTTTTACACACACGTACACCTGCGACTCCCACATACATACACTCTGGGGAGCGAGGTGTAGGGGTGTCTGTGCGGAGAGAAGGAGCGTGAAAAAGAGGAGCAGGCAAAAGTAGGGGGATATAAAAAAGAAGGATTTATTTATATATATATAAACAGAAATAGGGGAAAGGAGGATTGGTGCCACACCTACACATTTGTCGCCAGGCGTTAAAAACCCAGACACGTGCAACGGTTTTTTTGTGATGCGTAACAACGCCGCCGAAAAGCTGCTCAGCACAGCGCGCACGGAGGGTCTCTTACTTACGGAGAATGGCTTTGCTGAGTTTATGGATGCTGCTGATCCCTTGCGGGAGCATCGTGAGGCCTTTCACTTTCCCAAACGGCGGGAAGGAGGGGATTACGTGTACGTCAGCGGCAATGCGCTGGGGCTGCAGCACAAAGACGTGGAGTCGAGTGTCGGTGGGGCGCTGAAGAAGTGGCGTGACCTCGGCGTGATGGGGAACTATCAACACCCAAATCCATGGGAGGAGTTGGAGAGCCTGGGTAGAAAAGAGATAGCGGCGATTGTGGGGGCACAGGAAAGTGAGGTGATCACGATGAATTCATTTGGTGTTAACCTGCACTTGCTACTAATGGCGTTTTACAGGCCAAAAGGGAAACGACGGCGGATTTTGACGTGGAATCATTCCTTCCCCGGTAGCACACATGCGCTCGTCTCACAGTTGGAGGCACGCGGTATGAACCCCGCGGAGGATCTCGTTTTTGTGGGTGCCTCACAAGATGAGAATTGGGAAATAAGTTCGGTTAATATTCCCATAGAGCAGTTTTTTTCTCTTATTGAGAAGTGCGGAGATGAAGTTGCGGTCGCCGTATTGAGTGGAGTCCACTTTTTTAGCGGGCAGCTCTTTGACATTCAGACCATCACAAAAGCGGCCCATGCAAAAGGTATTGTTGTCGGCGTAGACTGTGCCCACGCGGTGGGGAATGTCCCGCTGCAATTGCATGACTGGGGGGTGGACTTTGCGTGCTGGAGCAACTACCGGTATCTTAACAGCGGCCCCGGTAACCTGGGGGGTGTGTTTGTACACAGCAAGCATACCTCCGTCGGAAATGTGTTTAAGCCGCTGCGTGGTTGGTGGGGCCATGATTGCCGCAACTGCTATAAGCTGTATCGTAGCTTTGAGCTCGCAGAGGGGGCAGCGAGCTTTCAGGTTAGCAACGTCCCGGCCCTCGGCATGATGGCAATGCTTCCAAGCGTCCGTCTTATGGCGGAAATTGGGATGGGGCCGCTGCGCGAGAAGTCGATGCTGCTGACGACCTACATGGAACTGCTGCTAAGTGAGCTGGTGCCACAGGGCTCAATAGAGGTCATTACGCCTGTCGACCCCAACCAGCGTGGGGCGCAGCTGTCGATTCGCATTTTGCCAAACCGGCTCACCTCTAATCTCTCGCTAAAGGACACGTATGAGTGCGACACCTGCGGGGACAGTGACGCTGACCGCATGGAGCGTCACCTCTACGAAAATGGCATCATTGTGAACCACTACCCACCCGACGTCATTCATCTCGCCCCTGTGCCGCTGTACAACTCCTTCATGGATGTCCTGCTAACTGTGCGGGCGGTTGCGGAGTGCTTCTAGTGATAAGCTTGACCACCCGCTATGGTGTTTTTTATGTCTTTTGGAGGCATCACACACACACAGCAAGAGAGGGGGAGAGAAAGAGAGAGATTACAAGCGAGAGCGAGCGTGAAGCGGGAAGGGGCGCCAAAGGAGCAGGCAAAGAAAAAGAGAAAGTACAAACAAACAAACAACAACAGAAAAAAAAAAGAAGAACCCATAAAACGAAGAGAAAGAGGATAGAGGGGAGTTAGTAATGTTCATGAGCCACAACAGCGACTACAAAAGGGGCACGCATGTTTGCATACACTTACACTTACATACAGACCAGTATACATGCACATGCCTGCACGCAGCAGGGATCCCACAGATACATTAGAACGCACGACATCCAAACTATGCAACTAACAAAAGAAAAAGAGCGAAGAAAGGAAGGAACAAAAGAAGAGATAACAAACAAACAAAAAAAAAGAACAACTACACTAACAGCAATGCAAACCTAAAAACAAGGAGAGAAGGATGAAGGCAACGGATGTGAAAAGTGAAGAATGATTTATGTATGTGTGTGTGGTCTACAGGATTTTCAAATTCGGATGCGGTACACATGTGTATGTATGCATGGGACGTATGTGTTTTGTTGAAGTGAGGGAAGGAGGAAGATGTGCGTGCCTGCGTGTGTGTGTGTGTGTGTGTGTGTGGTGGGGGTGGACCGAAGGTCCAGAGGCATTGAGGGAAGGGAGAGTTGAGGTACGAGCCAGACACGGGGAGGCGAAGGACGCAAATAAGAAGGCTAAGCTAAAAGAGAGAAAAAAATAACAACAAATAACTAACAGCAACAGCTAACAAAAAATAAGTCTTCAAAAACTGAAACGAAAAGAAAGATATGGAGAGAAAAAAAAAAAGAGCAAATATGCCTGCATTGGGATGATGCACCGCAGCTGGAGTGACACGCAGAGCGAACTCGTAAAAGGTGGTGTTGAGGACAAGCAGAGGAAGCGCCCAGAGCGACGCACGCACGAAGGAAGAGAAGAGAGGTGTCATCTGTTGCTGATTACAACCAGGGATGGATGAATGCATGCGTATGCCGTCATTAAATTACTGCACTCTTTCGCCGTCTCTTCTTCTTATGGCTTATTCATACATTTATTATTATTACTATTTTTTCAGTGATGTACTGGTGCATCAATGTGGTATCACGGCGATGACATGTGGCGCACATCTCTTGTTTTTCGTTGATTGTCTGCATCGCAGTTTTTTTTTTTGGTTTTGGTTTGGTTTGGTTTGGTTCTTCTGTGTGTGAGAGGCCCCGCTTTCGTTTCTTCTCTACGCCTCCTTCGTGTGTTTATATATATATATATATGCCTAAAGATGTATGTGTGTTTGTGTGCGGGCGGGCCATATGAAGGCGTAGTAATCAAATAGCGACGATCTTTGAGGCGAGGCTACGTGTGTGTGTGTGGGGGGGGGGGGGGGGGTCGCATGCATGCGTATGGCCCGGATGTGCACATGTACGTACGCAGGCGGGCATGCCCCTTTTTATTTCCTTTTGTCGCGCATATATATATATATATATATATGCCTGAGAGAGAGGGGGGAGGGGGGATTGATGATCTTTGATCTGCTTGTTGTCCTCGGGACATATCTTTTTGATAAGGGAAAAATGTTTCATTATGTGTGTGTGTGTGTTTCTGTGTGTGCTCTTTTTTTTTTTTATGTTTCGTCTTCTTCTACTTCATTGTTTCTTATTTTGCTTTACTGTTCTGGCCGCCGGTGGACTGCGTTTTTGTTTTGCTTTTGTTTTTGCACGAGATTGGTGGGAGGAGGCGGACGTGAGGGGGCAGAATTCATGCAGGAGAGGAGGGTTACAGAAAAGCGAAGAAATAAACAAACGGAGGGACTGTGCCTTTGCGTTTATGTTTGTATGTATGCCTTTTTCTCTCTTTTTTTTGTTTTTGTTTTTTTCTTCTTCTCTCTCTTCGTCTCTGTGTGTGTGGAGTGCGTGGGGTGCTATTAACTTCATGTCTTTCTTTGAGGTCTTGATGATGACGGTGGTGGTGGTGGTGTGCATGGACTTTCGGTGCTTCGTTTTTTTTTTGTTGTTGTTGTTCCTTCAGTCTCTGCTCGCCGCGGTGGATGCGCACGCGGGACTTTGCAACACACACACCATCTTCTTGTGTGTGTGTGTGTGTGGTGGGCTGCGCCTGATTTTTGCCGGCGGCGACGTTACCACCTTCTCTCTCTTTCTCTTCCTCCCTTTTTACCTGCTTTTGCGTGCGTGCGTGTGTGTTTCGTTGGGCACCTGTCTGGGAGGGAACCCCCGACACTGAAGCACTGGGGGAGTAACAAGCACACACACACACACACACATAAAGAGGGGGGCCGCACGGCAGTGAAACAGCAGCGGAAGCCGAACAAAAGAAAAGAATGGTGCATGTGGAGAACACGATGGATGACCCGACGACGCTGCGGCGCATAATGTCCGCCGCCGTGCCCTACCAAAGCCACGTTGGCCGCATGATGGACGCGAGCAGGGCCCACGCACACCTTTTCACCAACAATGAATCTAAGTCACACTCCGTGGCGAGGAAAGAGCGTGACAGGCAGTTGAAACAGCAGCGCGAGTACCAGGCCGCGTGGGATGTCGCAGCCAATCGCAGCCTGCAGTTGCCGGTGCTGCGTACCATGGCTCCTTCCTTTTACAAAGACGGCGGACGAGGGATGTGCCGACATGGGCGGCACCGTCATTGGTGGGGCGGGGTACAACACGATCGTCAGCATGGTTCCCACCGTTGACACCGTCAAGCGCATTGCAGATAGTGATGAGCTGATCAGCAGTTTTCGCCCGTATTGCATTGACGCGTTGCGGGCAGCGCGGCAGGCGGCAACGGCGGAGGACAGTGCCCCGCACCCGGACGACGCACGACACCTGGAGCCAACTTTACACACACTTGATGCCAGTCACCTCATGGACATCGGCGCCATCCCTGACGACGTTATACGGAATGACTGGGCTACTGCCTCCGCCTTCGTCGCTGCAAGTGTTTTGGAGGAAGGAGAACTGCGGGCTCCTGCTTGTCGTGTCGGTCCTTCCGCCGCTGGACGACCAAGTCGCATGGGCTTGCCACGACGTGCCCCACCGACAGGCACCTCCAGCTTCCTTACGACGCAACGCTTCAAATCACCGTCACGCATTCCAGGCGTACGACAACCGGACGTTGGTCACTACCATCAACGCTACACGCAGGTGGAACCACGCGTGGTGGGTGGTTACATGTCTCTTCGTGAATCAGCAGCACCACAAACACGTCAGCAGCAGGAAGATACCAGTGAACCTGTCGACACCATTGAGAAAGTACAACTGGCGCAAACCATACCGGGACTTCAATTGGCAGACAGCACGAAAACCTCTAGGGGCAGCACGTTTGTGTACAAGGATCAGTCTGTGGTTCCTATTGAGACCTCGCGTACACCTACCCGACCTCCACCTGCTGTGCAGGGCAGTCACATGTTTGTTTCCAAAACACAACGTTCAAAACCAGATTTTTACAGCCCAGCGAAGGATTTAGATTACTATCCATACGCGGATGTACGCTCCACAGTGAAGCGATCACGCTGCCCTGTGAAATTTGATGCTAACCTGAGCGAGCGCCGACGCGACATTGTGGCGACGTCCGCCATGGTGGGCATGTATAACTTGGCTATGGACATCTCAAACAATCCCCATCGTGTGGTATGCATGGACCGTGACACTGGGCGTGCGGGGCACTGGCAAAGCAGGCCACCCGCGTATCAATCTGTACCTGAGTTTGTGGATGTAACGGGTGCCCTCGAGTTGGTGCGGCCACGCACACGTGTGGTGACTATGGCATCGCAGGTACCCGAGGAAGACCAGGAAGAGCAGAAAAAGGCGCCTGACACCACTGTTTCCATTGAGCGAGACCTTAACTTCCCGAGAAGCTTGTTTGAGCAGTGCGAAGGGAAGCGAGTGCCACAGTTTGCGACGATGATTGGTCGAAATGCATCCGCACTGCCGCAATCACATGAGGCACCAGAAAATGTTGAGTTTACGCAGGTCACTGCACGCACGCCATGCGCCATTATCCACCCGACAGCACCCGGACACGCCCCACTGCACCGACCAAACCCGACGGAAATTGGTGACGTGCCAAACCTGAGGTGGGTGAAACCAAGGACGGAGCGCACAACTGATTTTGGCATGGTCTCCACCATATCTCCGCGGCACCTCCCAACGAGGGATTTGTGGTACGATACGAGCAAACGCGTGCTTGTGGAGCCACGCGTGCAAGGGAATCCAATGATAGAGACGCAAGTGTCACGTGAGAAGCGCGCTAAAATATTTTCTACCACGGGCTGTGGTGCCAACGCCGTGTATAACATTGACATCCCACAGAAGGGCAAGTCGGTGCCTGTGTTTGAAAAGCAAATCACGAAGGAAACCCAATTTTGTGGACACCGGCTGCAGTCGGAGCGGTGGCTGCGCAACCACATCCGAGCACCCGGCCCCGGTCACTACAATGTTTCTTATCGTCTCGTGGAATAACTGCGGCTGTTGTTTGTGGCCCTGTCCGGGGCGGGGCTGCAACGCAGATCCACGGAGAGATGCAGACGCCAGGGGAATAAACGCAATGCCAATAACAAGATTTATGAAGCGTAGAACACACTGCATCCCTATCTATCTGTGCCCATCTCCATGCGAAGTAGATAGTAAATAGTGCCATCAGGGCTCAGTTTGGCTTATGATATGAAACACATGTACATACTGTTTCACTGTATGGGAGAACAAAAAACAACAACAATGCTACTAACCAGAAGTCAAACACTCATACACATTTATTAAATCTCGCCTTGTAAACTTTGTTTCTTTTTTTTTTATTGCTTTTATTTACGCTGACTGCGCTCATCCCGCGTGCTGTGTGTCTCTCTCCCTCTCTCTTTCTCTTTTGAACCCTCGCTAGACTGTGCGTACGTGTGTGTGCTGCAGCGACAAGAGTGAGAATGGTTGGCCGTGTGCTGTTGATGTGCACCCTCTGCGTGCTGTGCTGTGCCGCCAGCGGTGTCGGTGCGTGGGGCGGCGGCTACTGCACGGAGAGTGACTGGAAGGAGTTGCGGGCGGTCGCGAAGGACATGACGGAGGCGGAGATTGAGGGGCAGTACTGCAGCCGCAAACCGGAGTTTGTGCAGGGACTGCGGGCGAGTCCGCAGCAAGATAGTGAGGAAGAGGAGGAAGAGGAAGAGGATGAGGAGGAGGAGGATGAGGAGGAGGGCATCACGCAGGATTCGGGCAAACAAAAAGGAACAACAACCGAACAAGTGTCGAAAGTTGAGACACACCCCAATGGCAACGACAACCAACAAACCAAAGACCAAAAAGAGAACTCTGGAGAGCAGTCACAATCCCGTGGAGACTCACAGGAAAACATCGACACACACAGCACCAACGCAGGGAACATACAATCATCGTCAGAACTTCCGGGAACACAACAGTCTCATACTCCAAATACCCTAAACAACCCGCAAAATGGTGCCACAACTGATCCACAGAAGAACGGTGACAGTGCACCAGCAGCAGCAACGGCAGGTGCAGAGCCTACTGCCAACGGTTCCAAGGACACCGCGGCCACGACTGACACTGACGGCAGCTCCACAACGCAGTCAAAGCCGGCGGGCCCTGTGACAACAACCGAAGCTGGTCAGGCGGAGCAGGAGCACACCGTAGTGCCCACATCCCACGAAGAACCGGGAACGAGTGGTGGGAAGAAGGAACAAGCCGCCAAACCGGCAGCGGGGGCGGCTGAGAGAGAATCCATGACACCGCCGGCCACTGCCACCAAAACAACGAAGGCGGCGCCCGGCGACAGTGACAGCGGCGCCGCGGCCTCGCACTGCACCTCCCCCATTGCGCTTCTTCTTGCGTGTGCGGCGGCTGCTGCGATGGTGGCCGCGTGAGAGGCACGGAGAGAGGGAGAGGGCTGTGCGCAGCTCGTCCTTCTCTTTGTTTCTCTCTTTGTGTGTGTGCTCATGCACGATTGTTCGCCCTCGCCCCACCCCACGGGACACACGCGTAATGTGCTCATATATACACGCACACTCATGCAGGCCCGTTGGGTTTCCTTTTTTAAACTATTTTGCTTTTGAGGGGCCGCTGCCGTCCTGCCTGGCTGCATGGGTACATCAACAGCACCGTAACAGATTTAATCTTTTTTTTTTTACTGTTTGTTTTTCTATTTT